CACTGATACGACATCAGTACCAGTTAACTTCAATATCCCACTGCCTTTGTCATTATTGGTGCTCTTCACCTTGCAGTTCCTCAGCACCCTCCTATCTTTAGAAGGTAGTCTGACTATCTTCAGCGAGGAGAAAGATCCAAACCACAGTTTCTTTTCCATTTTATTTGACTTATACTTTAAAATGTACCTTGAAATACCTTTATTTTCTTTGATGATCCATCATCCTAGCTTATTTAGTTAATATGTATTCTGGACTTTTCTTTTAAATTAGCTGTAACCTATTAATTTAAACTTTTTTGTGAACCGTGTTGGTTTTTTGCTAGCATCTGGTATGATGTTAAAAAGTAAATATTGTATAAATTGTAGCTGAATTGAATTGCGTTTTTGAGTCCCAGAACCCCGTTGTGGTGTGTTTGGTTTGTTAGTCTCTACCTCCTTCACTGTCTAGAGATTTTGCAGGTGTCCAGTCTAAATGTCGTATTTATATTCTTTCCTTTTTGTGCCTTAGGTTGACAAGATCCTCAAAGTGATTCCCCGAGATCGGAAAACATTTCTCTTCTCTGCTACCATGACCAAGAAGGTGAAATTTGCCAGGATTTCTGTTTTCTTCATTATAGGAATTGATACATATCAGGATCTGGAAGAATTTCAGAAAAAAAGAAAGATTAATACTAAAATCAATAATAATAGTAATAGTAACAATAAGTAAAAATAACAAAGAAAAAGCATTTGGAATCAGTGTGCTATTTTGGATTTTCTTTCTTCAGGTGCAAAAGCTTCAACGAGCAGCTCTGAAGAATCCTGTGAAATGTGCTGTTTCCTCTAAATACCAGACAGTGGAGAAATTACAGCAATACTATCTTTTTATTCCTTCTAAATTCAAGGTAAAGTGTTTACTTTGACCATTCTTGCCTCTCCCTCCCGTTTTCACCAAAATGTGTCGCACTCTTGCTTAGCTAAGAGCTGTGCTGCAGATTGGAGTCCTTCCTGTTTGCTGCAGAGAGTGGTTTGTGCTTATATTTATCACTAAGTCAGACATTCGGGGAATTCACAACGTATTAAACCACGGTCATGACGTCACAATGTAATCATAGGATCATTCCTTCCCATCCCCATCCATGAGGTAGTTTTACTTCTGCTTATTATGTGGCCTTTATTTAGAACAGGGACTTCAGTTTTATGCTTTGATGTAAGGACTTTTCCTGTTTGCTGAGAACAGATTTCCATGTGCCAGGCTTCAGGCTATGTGGAGGGGGAATGCATGGTTCACACAGGTGACACTGGCTGAGAAGAACAAAGCTGGCAGGTATAGGGATAACTGAGAAGCAACTATAGGCCTAGTCTTTACTTAATGTATATGACAGGTGTCGCTAACCCTTCTATTTCAATTATGTATATTGTTTTGGGTTTGTAACCTAGGATACCTACTTGGTCTATATTCTAAATGAATTGGCTGGAAACTCCTTTATGATATTCTGTAGTACCTGTAACAATACTCAGAGAACAGCTTTGCTACTCCGAAATCTTGGATTCACTGCTATCCCCCTCCATGGACAGATGAGTCAGGTAAGGACTCATATTTGGCATTAACTGTGAACTAAGGAGAAAGACAAACTTTATAACAGTAGATTTATACAATAAGGACATAAGTTTCCATAACTGTTCTAGTTTTATGAGCTTTGAAGTGTTGCTCTGGATACCTACTTTCACCTTTCAGGATTAGCAAGAGACTCAAAGTAGAACGGATATTTCATAGGTAGTTGTCTGGTTATAATCTGTTGATTTTATTTGGTCAGCCCTAGTGGTACTAGTGATTCTCTGATCTCTAAAAACTTTTAATAAATGACTTTGCAATTATCGTTCTTGTAGTCTTTAATATTTTTTGTTGCTGACATACTTCTGTTTTGACCTGTGAAGCCCCATTCTGGACTTAGGGTGAAAATTTTTTTTAATTTATATCTTTTTGTAAGTTTTATATTCCAAGATTCCTTAGTTTTCCAAGATTAAAGTTCTCATTTCTTTTTCATTATTTCAGAGTAAGCGCCTGGGATCCCTTAATAAGTTTAAGGCAAAGGCTCGTTCCATTCTTCTAGCAACCGACGTTGCAAGCCGAGGTTTGGACATACCCCACGTGGATGTAGTTGTCAACTTTGACATTCCTACACATTCCAAAGTGAGTCTTATTACTACCTTGACTTTCTAGTCCCACAATTTATTTCTTACTGGAATATTTTCTCCCTTTCCTTAGTTACAACATAGTTTTTTTGGTCCATGATAAGTATCACAACCCAAGAAAACTCTTGATTTACTCATTCTGATTATCCTGCATATGCTTGTGCACATAACATTAGTAAATGGGAAGGAAGGTAGCCAAGGAGAGTTATATGCTCCCAGGCAGAAGAGGCAGGTATAGCCTGTGCTGATTTCTGTCATTCCTTCTTAGTGTATGTAAGCGTTTTTCAACCTTGGCATTATTAATGTGTTGAGCTAGAAATTCTTTGTTGTGGGAGTGGTTCTTTATGTTGTAGAATATTTAGCAGCATTCCTGGTCTCTACCCGATGGGTGACAGTATCACATACTCTTCCAGTAGCGACAACCAGACATGTTTTCAGATGTTACCATATGTCTCCTGGAGATGATAGAGTCACTGCTGGATTAGAGCTGGTGTATCTCTTGGCTTTATATTTAACTGCTATGTCATTTGATTTTCATAGTAACTCTGTAAATGTGGGCATGTATTTCCCCTGTATTATAGATAGAAACTAAGGTTTAGAGTTGTTTTGTGATTTGCAGATAATGTAAAGGCAGAGCTGTTTTTACCAGGTCTGCCTCAGTAACCAATGCTTTTTGTGTTTGTACCATGTTGCCTGTTACCATGTAAATATGCTTTGTAGGCTCAGCACCTGTGGCTCAAGTGGCTAAGGCACCAGCTACATAAACCTAAGGTGGCTGGTTCGAATCCAGCCCGGGCCCGCCAGACAACAACCAAAAAATAGCTGGGCGCTGTGGCAGGTGCCTCTGGTCCCAGCTACTTGGGAGGCTGAGGCAGGAGACTCACTTGAGCCCAGGCGTTGGAGGTTGCTGTGAGCTGTGACACCACGGTACTCTATTCAGGGGGACAGCTTGAGGCTCTGTCTCAAAAATAAATAAATAAATAAATAAATATGCTTTGTAGATTTGTCTCTGTATGAAAGAAGGGAAAGCATTGGATCAATTTCGTGCTGTAAGGAGAATGAAAAGATGAAGTAGATTTTTCTCGAATCGCCCAGGCTGTTTTTTGCATGTTATGACATGAATCTATTTTTTTTAAAGCTTTGCAGCAAGATTTTGTATACGTAGTTTTTTTTTTTT